GACATTCTTCTTTACAAATCCTCGTTTTGTACTTCTAATTAGTGACCGTTTTGTTTTGATCTCTCCGCTGCGTTTGCATGTCATTCCCCCGGAACTGCTTCCATGTACAACAGCGAGCGCAAGCTAGATTCAAGTGATTATTAAGTTTTGAATATGGATATTTTTCTTACAAAAACGTTTTTATTATAAATGATAATTTTAAATGTTCATTTTTTATGTGCACTTTACAAATGAATCAAATTTAAGCACAAACATTTAGCCATTAATGATGATTTAACTTTCAAACTATTTAGATTATAAAAGTATATTTTATTTTTATATTCTATAAATATGATGCATAATTTCAGATTTTTAAACTTTTTTTTTTTTTCAATTTAAAACAACACTGTTAGTACATGTATATAAATCTGTTAAGCACTTGAATCAAATCGTTTCCCAAATACTCACTGCAAACCTTTTAAAATTCAACATTATTAAAGACAGCAGACTTGAAAAACATCTGTACATGGAGCAACATCATGACTTTAGTTCTAGCAGAAGACATTCACATACAGTCTCAACTGATGCCCCCTAGTGCCTGCAAATGGAAAAAAACATGAGGAGTGCTGGTCAATCCAAATACACATGCAGTCTGAACGGTTTCTAAACAGGAGATCAAACAATACATTCTTTAATCGTTCATTTATCAACGGAATCCCTATTTGATTGACTTTAGCACATCACACCGCCATTTGAGGATTCGATTTATCTGGATACATGAACCAAAAACAAATCAAGCAACAAAATAAGAGAAGAACAAATGCATCTAGAACACCACAGACGCCAAGTGCTTTATCATTCACACACCAATCAAGGGGAAGAATTAGAAACCAAATGTTTCTTGGTTTTGTAGAAAATGTTTTGTCATGCTTTGCCATCCACATGGTCTTGAGCTCTGGTCTAATTCAGTCAAAGCAAATCTCTGCCTGAGCTCCAAACGACTCAAAAGCAAAGTCGTAGAAAAGACAAAATTATACTAAAAATTTTTTTGTTATTCCACGTCTTTAGTAAAAACCCTTCTTGCGTGTCGGTGTCATACGGCTGTTGTGTCTCCGTACTGTCTGTTCCAGCAGACGTACTGATCCAGCGTTTGAGGACTGACGCTCCGCTTTATCCTCTTCAGCGAATCCACAAAATCAGAGAAACAGATGTCCCTCATCTGAACAGAAGAAAGACAAGAACATGCTACATGGTATGTTTTAAAAATAGTATGTCAATTAAAAATAAAAAAAAATTGTATTTGAAATAGAACACTTTGTATAAATAAGTGTTTAATCAGCGAGTGGCGCATAGTTACCATCTTGGAAGTTTTTTCAAATTTTTGTATAAAAACATTTGCTGTTATACGGAAAAATAGGAATTAATATTTAGCTAGCTCATATTTGTGTTTTACAGGGGGGGAAAAAACATCAAATGCAGTTCAAGCGACAGCACCTATTTTTGTTTTGTTTTTGGTTAACGATCCCTTTAAGAACAGATTTAATATCAGTGTTGTTTGTTAAAGGGGTCATATGATGCGATTTCAAGTTTTCCTTTCTCTTTGGAGTGTTACAAGCTGATTGTGCATAGATAAGATCCCTGAAGTTGCAAAGACTAAAGTCTCAAAACCAAAGAGATATTCTTTATCAAAGTTAAGACTGCCACGCCCCCCTAACTATAAAATGTTAAGTGAAAAGGTGAAATACAATAAAATAGTATATATAAAACCTAGCTGCCAAGGCAACATTTCTCATTTGCATTTAATTTAACTTGTACTAAAATAACAAAAACTACAAAAACATAAAAAATAAAAATAAAAAAAAATAATATAATAGGCATCTAAATGATGTTAATATAACACTGCTTAATATTCTCTACCTTATCAGCTGGCATGTTCCTCACTTGTTCAGGCCTCAGTTCTGTGTTGAGAAAGAGCAGGGCACAATTATCTAGCAAAAAGTCCACCTCTAAACCAAATGTCTTGGTATACTTGAATAAAATATCTGCATGAAGTATGAATGTACCTCGTATAGGACCAAGAGCAGCGTCTTTAGCCAGCGAGGTCAGATCACTGCCGGAGTAACCCTCCGTCATCCTGAAAACACACCGCACAAATAAAATGACCCAGCACTGATAGTCATTAGTCTCAACGGCATATTCTACAGAAATATTGAGCTGTGTTTTACCTGGCTAACTGACTCAGCTCTTTCTGAGGTAAAGTGTTTCTGTGTTTGCTGAGGAGGTTCTTGAGCAGCTTCAGACGAGCCTGAAACACACACACACAGTCAATTAGTGTCTGTGTTCAATGCTAATTAACTGGAAAACCAAAACGAGTAGTGAATAAGATGCAGTTGAATTTAAGGAGGTAGGGATAAAATGAAATTCAAATGACTGTGGTATAAAACTAGTTCTGTCAAACGATTAATTGCGATTAATCGCATCCAAAATAAAAGTTTTTGTTCTCATATTATATGTATGTGTACTGTGTTTATTTATTATGTATATATAAATACAAACACATGCATGTATACATTTAAGAAAAATAATGTTATGTTTATATATTAAATATATTTATATATAATATAAATTATATGAGTAGAAATATATACATGTAAATATTTTCAAAATATATACTGTATGTGTGTGTATTTATATATACATAATAAATATACGCACAGTATACCCACATACATTGAGTAAACAAAAACTTTTATTTTGGATGCGATTAATCGTTTGACAGCACTATATAAAACATTTAATCTTTCAGTCAATTAGTCATAAATTTACAGAAAAATACCAATGTATGAATTATTAATACCAATATTAATATATAATACTAATAATCAATGAGTAAAAAAAAACTAAAATAGAATTATTACCACTTCCTTTCAAAAGTCTGGGTCCCTGGTGAGTTTTTTTCTCTCTTCTTTTTGACGGTATAAAACATTTAATCTTTCAGTCAATTAGTCATAAATTTACAGAAAAATACCAATGTATGAAATATTAATACCAATATTAATATATAATACTAATAATCAATGAGTAAAAAAACTAAAATAGAATTATTACCACTACCTTTCAAAAGTCTGGGTCCCTGGTGAGTTTTTTTCTCTCTTCTTTTTGACGAAATTAATACTTTTGTTCACCAAATATGCATTAAATCGATATGTAAAGACATTTATAATGTTACCAAAGATTTCCATTTCACATAAATGCTGTTCTTTTAAACTTTCTATTCAAGAAAATGCTGGAAATTCAGCTCTTCCATCACAGGAATAAATTGCATTTTAATATATTTTCAAAAACAGTCATTTTAAATTGTAATAATGTTTTACAATATTACAGCTTTTACTGTCATTTTTGAGCAAACATATGAGTTTAAGACTTTTCAAAAACATACCGATCCTAAACTTTTGAATGGTAGTGCATGTGTGTACATATTTGTGTTTAATAAAGTACCACCCATGTTATGAACCATGGCAAAATATGATGTCCATGACACAGTCAGGATTTAAAAGAGAACCGATAACTTCTGCCCATCCCTGGTGTGAACACAGTACCTCCTCTGTAGGTAAAGCCACATAAATGCGTTTAGCGAATCGCCTGTGAGGAAAAAAACACATTGAGCATGTAATTATGAAGTCTTTGAAAGTAAGTGTGCGACTACAGGTCAACGGTACCTAAGAACTGCCTCATCAAGCTCCTGAGGCCTGTTAGTGGCTCCCATCACTAACACTCGGTCATCTCCTCCTGACTGCACCTGCAACACACACACACACACACACACCAGGAGCGTCAGTCACCTGTGATCAGGAATGATGAATTTTCAGATAGAGTTCACACACTTACTCCATCAAACTCGATGAGGAACTCTGTTTTGAGTCTTCTGCTGGCGTCATGCTCGCCCTCTCTCCTCTCACACAGCAGACTGTCAATCTCATCTGCACCACATTCACCATTAATGATGCATTTACAGAAACACACCACTTCTGAAACATGAATGAGTCTGAGTGACAGTTCTCACCGATGAAGATGATTGACGGCTGCAGTTCCCTAGCAACCGCAAACAAAGCCCGAACCAGTTTCTCGCCCTCTCCCACCTAAACACACACACACCACAACATGAATGAGTGTTTCTTAAGACAGAATAAAAGCGAGTGTAATGCATGGGTTATTATTGCCTTTATAAAACGCCATCAACTGTAATATGATTAGCAACATATATGAACAGTTGCATTTATAATTAACAATAATATTCAGCATATCAAATATATCAAAAAGAATATCAAATTTGTTTTGGTCATTTCTGCACAGCTTGGTCTAATGATCATTTGAGCCAAATTTGAACAAAATTGGACAAGATTTATTAAAGAGTAGCAAAAAACTGCTTTTCAAAATGCTGGACAAGCAAAGTTATGAAAAATGACAAATGGGATATTGTTAGAATCCACTTAAACTGAGGAATGTAATGACAAGAAAAAATTTTGGACCATATTTTTAATGTTTTTGTGGCGATATGTCTATAGTTTATATACTATACGCTATAGTTTATAGCGTCAACAGAAAAAGTGAACACAGATCTGGTCGATTTTGGAAACGTGTTTTTTGGTAACGATAGTGAATATCAAAAAACTGTTTGGTCATTTCTATGTAGCTCAGTTTAAAGATCATCTGAGCCAATTTTAAGTAGCAGTGAAAGAAGTTTTTCATATGCTTCCTTCAAAAGAAAAGTTACGAAAAATGACAAATCATCTGAATGTAATGACAAGAAATTTTGTTATGATATTTTCAAAACGTATTAGCATTTTGTTACTGATCGCTACCAAATTTCGTGTCGAATATGTCCAAAATGTTCATACTGTCAAAAGTCAATAGCTACCGAAATAAAAGTGATTAAAAGTGTATTCTATAGAGTTCGTCCTAGAGATCAGAAAGTTGGTCAGACTGCTATTCAGGACCACCCCAGTGGTATAATGTAAAACGTAATTTTGGTATTTTCATATAAATAGTTCTACTGCCTGTCATAGACTCCCATGGTCGAGGAGGAAGAGGAAGAAGTAATAGTTCATTAGTGTAACCGTCTCATGAATACTCACATATTTGGAGGTGAGACTGGCAGCACTGATGTTGAAAAACGTAGCGTTAGATTCCATTGCAACCGCTTTAGCCTGTGAGGAAATGGAAAGATCAAATACAGTTCTGCTCTTATGCTGTATAAATATACATACATCTAAAAAGAGCCTTTTTTGTGTTTTACCAGCATAGTCTTCCCATTTCCAGGTGGGCCAAAGAGCAGGAGCCCTCTAGCAGGAGCCCTGAGACCAGTAAACAGCTGAGGAGATCAACATAAATGTCATTATAAACACATAAGTAAATTATGAACGTAAAAATACAATTTGTTCTATAATATTAGCAGTACAGAGTACCAATATTGTAGAATGTAAACAGATAGGAATTTTTACAAAATCATGTCTAGGGATGATTAGTGATCATTTGTTTGTTTCAAGCTGCCTAAGATTCTTAGGCAACACAACCTGAGATGATACAGATGTTTACAGACGTGGAGAGGAGACAAACCTCTGGACGTAGAGCAGGCAGGATAACGATTTCCTGCAGTGCCTGTTTTGCCAATTCCTGCCCTGCTATGTCATCAAACTGCACCGCAGCACCGCTGAAACAAACACAACCATGGAAATCATCAGCGTCAATGTGAAAACTCCCATTTGTTTTTATATTTTCTCAAAAATATCTCAATATTTTTTGGGATATTTATGTTTCTGCACAAGAAACATGTATTATTATTATTCTCATCAATGTTGAAAACAGTTTTTGCCGCTTAATATTTTTGTGGAAACCGTGATACACCAATCTGCCGAATAGTAGTGTGGATGTGTAGTGTAAATGCTGTTCTTTTTTAATGTTCTGTTCATCAAATAACCTTGAGAACCTTGTATTATATCGTTTAGAATATTAAAATAAATGCAGTCTTGGTGAGCAGAAGAGTCTTCTTTTAAAGAACATTAAAATTCATAACAATTCCAAACTTTTGATATGTACTGCACTCATAGTGTATATAAAATATCTCATAGTTATATATTGTATATCATATATGTATATAATATTTACATGCATACTTTTTCTAAACAATTAACATACAAAAGATTTCTGACAAAAACAATGATGCATTAAAATATTTATATCTGATGTATTTATTTTTAACAGCACTAATGTTACCTGTCTACGATCTCATTGAGGATGAGGCTGGCCAGTTTGCTGTCCACATTTTTAAAGTTCTTCATGTCTCTTTTCCTCTGAGGTGACGCAGTGGCAGTGTTGCTGGTGTTATGTCTGTTACCGGCTCTTGCCGGGGGCCCCTACAAAACAAAACACGACAACAAAGTTCAGCCACAAAACCTAGCGAGACAGCATTTAAAGGTGGCTCGTGGCTAAACGCTACACTATGCAGACGGTCTGATGTCTGACGAACCTTCAGGTTACTCTGAGGGCCGGTCCTGCCGCTGTGACCAGTTGAAGGTATGCAGCGCAGGGCAGCAGCAGGGGCAGATTTGGGTGGGTTTTTGGGTCGCACAGGGGACTGATTTGTGATTGTGAGAGTGTCCTTCTTTTTGGAAACTGCTCCACTGCCTGCAACTACAAACATATGCTCATACATACACAGAAACATCACTGTAGAGTCTCTCTGATCACAGATCTCCCAGAATCCAAAGCAAACACCCACCTGGACGCAGGTTCCCATTGGAGAAAGACAGGCCTGTGTGATCAGAGCAGCCCTCTGCTGGGGACTTTGAAAGCAGTTTGCCTTTGTGATTGCAGAAAAGGAAACAGAGACAGAGGAAAGAGAGACATTTAAGGGGAAACTAAAAACTCCAGAAAAAACAAAAACAAAGCAGAACAGAAGCTGTAAGAGGGTGCAAAACATGTCCAAGTTACATTTCACCTCAACATACAAAAAAGAAAATAAGTTAAAGGGGTCATATGATGCGATTTCAATTTTTTTCTTTCTCTTTGGAGTGTTACAAGCTCTTGGTGCATAAAGAAGATCTGTAAAGTTGCAAAGACTAAAGTCTCAAATCCAAAGAGATATTCTTTATAAAAGTTAAGAGTCAACCACACCTACCTAAAACGGCTCGTTCTAACACGCCCCCACATGTCTACGTCACGATGTGCGAAGATTTGCATAACACCGCCCAAATGTTCAAGCAAAGAAAGAAGGCGTAACTTTTATCCTCGCTGTAGTATTGTTGTTGCC